TCACCAAACCCCCCAGGGTTTGGGAGACGAACGCTTTGGGCTTTCACCCTCTCAGGCTCAAACTCGAACTCGGACTCGGACTCGGACTTAGACTCAGACTCGGACTCGGACTCGGACTCGGACTCGGGCTCAGTCTCGGCCTCCGCCTCGGTCTTGGTCTCAGTCCCGGTCTCGGTCTCGGTCCCGGTCTTGGTCTCGGTCTTGGTCTCGGTCCCGGTCTCGGTCTTGACCTCGGACTCCATCTCGGGTCCTTCTCGGACTCCATCTCGGATTCCATCTCGGGTCCATCTCGGACTCCATCTCGGACTCCATCTTGGTCCATCTCGGACTCCATCTCGGACTCCGTCTCGGTCCATCTCGGACTCCATCTCGGACTCCGTCTCGGTCCATCTCGGACTCCATCTCGGACTCCACTTTGGACTCCATCTCGGACTCCATCTCAGACTCCACCTCGGACTCCATCTCAGAGTCCGTCTCGGTCCATCTCGGACTCCATCTCGAACTCCACCTCGGACTCCACCTTGGACTCCATCTCGGACTCCGTCTTGGTCCATCTCGGACTCCATCTCGGACTCCAACTCGGGTCGATCTCGGGTCTATCTTGGACTCCGTCTTGGTCCATCTCGGACTCCATCTCAGACTCCGTCTCGGTCCATCTCGGACTCTTCCACGTGTCATGTGTTGGTCCTTTTGGGTCCCTTTTTGGAGCTTCGCTTATTGCTCGCTTCGTGCTTGTTCCTCGAGCACTTTGTTGGGAGTTCCACTCCCGCTCTCGACCTTTCAAGTCGGAGCTTTTAGTCCAAACGTGTTATGCTCGTTTGGCTTTCGCTTCGGCCACTACCACGTGGCACCCTTCCGGCTCCACTTTGGGGCCTAGGGATTTTGTGTCTCACACATTCCTAGTTTGATCCGCTCCAACATATTGGCTCCGCATAAAGCAAAAGGCTACGAAAACAAATGCTAAATTGCATCACCAACTTAGATGGTCCTTAACAAAGACAATACAATTGTTAGAAAGTATCATCACAATTGTCAACATATCCAAATGTGTGTTTGAAGACGTCTGGAAAAATACTCTAATCCCCACGAATAGCTACATTCAAACCATTATACCACTACAGTGCCATCCCTTGGAAACACGTGGGAAACTCATACAAACATCGAGTATCATCCCAAGAATGATATATGGCAATCACTATAAAGTGATTGAACTAATAGTACACTTGTCCCTAAGGATTCCCATAAAAGAACTCTAGTTGAACATGAGGATTGGCACCAAGAGCAATAAGAGTTGTACCATGTGTTGTGAATACTACCATCAACTGAGTTTGGTTGTTCAACTGCAATCACATAGCATCAAGCAATTGTGCTCCAAAGTCAAAGGAGGAGGAGATTACTGCTCTACCATAAAGATGAATGAAAAAGAAAGAGCAAAAGAAATGAAATAAAAAAAAGCTAGAAGGAAAGGGAGATATAGATAATGCAAAAGCTAGATCTAAACCAAAATCCCAAAAGGAAAGAATAAAAGAAAGAAATGGAAAAAGCTAAATTTAGACAATGCAAAAGCTAAATCTAAACCAAAATCCCAAATCTAAGCACTTTTCAAGAATAATCAAACGTGCCCCTCACCTCCACCAATGTGAGTGCATGGAATATAAAATAATGTGAGTGCATGGAATATGGATAGGGAATACATAAAATGTCATAAATGGATAGGGAACACATAAAATATCAATTATCCCAAAAACTCTACTTTATATTGAAACTAATCTGATGGCTACCAAAATCCCACTATGCTAATATTAGTATACATTATTGTAGCTATACACTTGACCTCACATTTCTATATTTCAATTAATAGTAAGCTAAGATATAAACAAAATGAATTTGGAAGTTTTTAAATAAATAGAGAATCAAGATAATTCTGGTTAGTTGTTTTACAAATTTGAATTAACTTTTGAATATAAATATTATTGTCCAGTAAATAATTTTCTATCTTTATGTGCAAGTTATAAACTAGTTCTTCAGCCATTATCTATTTGATGATATGAAACTTGGCATAAAATGTAACAACATATAAATAAAGGTATATAAATTATGAAAAGAAAATATTTTAATTTTTTTTATAAAGGCCATGATAAACAAAAAATAATTTTAGATTCTTGCTTCCTTCCTTGATGCTTCCTTGATTCTGCCACACTTTCCATACATGTTGACGATAGAGGTTCCAGCGACAACATTACGCTCCCAGCCACACGAGCAAGTACGCTCGTGGATCTTTATACCCTGTGCTTTATCCTGCTTCCAAGAACACGCTGCCAGGATCTCAGTCAGCGTCACCATATCAGGCCCAATCCCTTCCAGATCCAACTTCCACAGCAGCGCAATCGCCGCTCTAAACTGCCCATTATGGGCATTTGCGGCAATCGCAGTGTTCCAGTCCGCGCCGATGCCGGCATCCCGGAGCTGGCGATAGAGCTCGATCGCAGCGGGGAGCCCGCCCTGATCGGGATTTCTGGTGCAAGCAGCCAGCATCGCGCTCCAGGCGACTATCGTCTTGCGCGGCATGTCATCAAAGACCTTCCGCGCGTCTGCCAGGCTGCCGCATTTCCCATACATGGTTAAGAGGGCGCAGCACACGACTGGATTGCTCGCGATCGCGGGTGGCGCGGCAACGATCTGGGCGTGGATCCGGATGCCCGACTGGAGATCGGGGCAATTGGTGCAGGCGGCGAGCGCGGCGACGAACGAGACGTGGGTGGGGCGGACGACTGAATCGCTGGCGAGGGCGAGGAAGAGATGAATCGCTTGCACGCTCTGGCCGTTTGCGCAGAGAATCGAGATCATGATGTTACAGGAGAAGGCGTTCTTGTGGACGAGATCGTGGAAGACGGACCATGCGTCCGGGAGGCTGGAGCACTTGCCATACATGAGGATGAGGAGATTGCTGAACAAGGAGTGGTGGCGTAGGTCGAGGGTGGCGGCCAGGCGGCGGTGCAAGAGCTTCCCTCGCGGGAGGGACTTGGAATCACCACATTGGCGCAGAAGAGTCGCGATTTGGCGTGGAGATGCCTGCAGGAGGCACCGCGATCACTCCTCTTGCTACTTCGCTGGATGTCATGGCAAAGACACACTCTCTCTCTCTCTCTCTCTCTCCATGATCCTGTGAAGAGCTTCATATGGATCATCACATTTTTGTCAATAGCTTCACATAGGCACTAAACAACAGACATAAAAGAACTCAGAAGCAATCAGTCTTCTAAGCATCTTATCCTCCGGCATCAAATGTTGGATCAGTGATGTCCTTTTTGAAGTCTCGCTTGTTGTTTGAGGTGGGCACGTGCTCCTATTGGTGTTCATGGGGTGTTGCAAAGCTGTGGGCTCTCAATGTAAAGGGGATTTCCTTGGCAAAAGAGCTTGAAAATTTGGTGTGCTGTTTTTCTTGTTTTGCCATTTTGTTTTACATGAGACATGTAGGAAATCCTGAGCTCAAAAGTTCACTAAGATTCATTTGCATAAACTACACTTTGGCAGAAAAATTATAACATTTATTACAAAATACAATAATCAGTTAAAAACAACCCATTCATCATCGAATGGATCTAGGACGTACAATTTGCCTTGCTTCTCCACACATTGTCCAATATTCCAGCGATGGGTAACTTTGGTAAAATCCACACACTTTGACAGCGCAAGAAGGAACGGGGTTACATCTGCCAAGAAGTGGTCATCCTTTGACCCCTCAAACTTTGGAGCCACCACCACGCTCTCTTGATGACCTTGGTAGAAGTCAATAATGTCATCCAGTGCCACCACCCGCTTGAAATCCCGAATCCCTACATGGTCAAGATTCTTGACTTTCGTCCCGTCCTTTAGAACAACGCAATTGCCACCATGTAGCCTCCTCGACACAAGCCCCCCAGTAGGATCCAGATGGTCAACCACAAGGTTGACATACTTCTCCTGGGCGGCACTAAACACCATGATATCGTACACTTTTGAAACCTTCCCCAGAAATTCATCTACGCCTGGTCTCTTCATGATGTGGAGTGGTGCATCATCGTCGAATTCCATGCTGAAATCTACAGAAGAGACGAGATCCTTATGAGCGTATACCAGTGTATTGTCTAGATCGAGAATGAGTGTCTTCTTCATGATACCCTAAAAAATGACTCGTATTCCGTGGAAGTGAAGAAGGGCCACAAAGGTGCCACGTCTGCCCTAAACTCTATCCGACGTGGCCGTTTGTATTCTTGTACCCTACTATTGGCAAAGCCCAAGGGAGCCGGAGGAGCGCGTCGATCCTCAATGCAGCTTAGATTCCAAATCTAGGGCTGCCGTGATCGTCTGGCAAGGGCAGAGGTGAGTGCGCTGCTGGTTTGCAGCCTACTGTTGGCGAGGCGTTAGGAGGTGAGCATGCAATTGTAGCAAGTTTGTTGTGAATCCATTGACGGACAGCTGATGTGCGCATTCTAGGCTCCAGCCGTTGGATAAGTGCAGTAACGACTCCTCAATCTCTTTTGTGCTTTCAGCAACGACTCACAATGTTAACACTGACCAGAGTCCACCATGGAGAGGAAGAGAGCTGCTGGTCCGAAGAAACTACACACTCAGAAGCGATCCGACGTCATGCTCGAAAGGACCCGCCCACTGGATCCGATTAACCGAGCTCGATCAGGTTGGTCAAAACTTGAAACATCTGCACTTGTCTGATGAAGATCCTCGTTGAAGCAGGAGCAGGAGAAACTGATCATGATGCATCCGCGTTGCAGGCTGCTCCTGACGCTGGTACGAGGAATTCCTTTTGTTGGCTGACACGACTCTTTGCTGGTTTGATTCATGACTTGCAGAATATGTTCGGCAATTCCTCGCAATGGCGCAACGCTTGGAGAGATTCAAGATGCTCTCGGCGAATGTTGTGACCGGGATCGTGGAATCGATCCAAAAGGGAGGGGAGACTCCAGTTGCAGCAGCAGGTGGATACAATAATTTGTCTCTTTGGCATCTTTTCGCTTCTGGTGTTGGAGCTGGTCGCAGCAAGACGCGACCAGCGTCCATCCGCGCGCGACATCCTCTGCGATCCTGCCTGGCAATCTGTTTGGTGAGTTTCTTTCATTACTCTGATTCTCTGCTTGGCTTCTAACATGTCTGTTTGCAGCTGATCGTTGTAGTTGTTTAGATTTACTTGCTCCTTTTTGTCATCTTTGTAGTCTTGGTCTTTTTCAGCATGCTGATTTCGATTCAGAAATATGAATTCGTTGCCAGTTCATTGCATTTCTGCCAGGCCGAGTTGTTCTCGATCAAGGTTGCTGAACAACTCAAGGGCTTCCGACATTCTTGTAGTCAGGTTCGGTTCAAGGAACAGGATTGGTAAACAGCACATTGACGGGAGATGCAACAGCGTGGTGTCCACGGCTGGCTTCTTGTAGGGTCCATGCATCTCACCTCAAGTGGGCAGAGATCGAGTGGAAGCTGGAGAGCTACCCCAATTCTCGGGAGATGCGATGAAGAAAATGGCGGGATTGTTGATTTTTGTAGAGAGAATATTCGCACCTTTGACCTGTTGACCTTTTTACAGGGAAACGTTTTCCTACAGGCCTTTCTGAATTGAATCCAAGGAACCTGGAAGTTAAAACAAGAGATTAGCTTCAGAACACTCAAAAGCTCACCCCTACAAGTTCTGTTGGTACAGGGTGAATGAGTTTCTTTTTGCCCCCTCAAAGCCCCTTTTTTGACGAGTCTGCAAAATTATAGAAAGGAAGAGTCAAATGGAGAGAGAGAGAAATATATATATATGAATTGATCCAGGTTTCTTGTTTTTTTCATACCTTGAGGAACCAATCGTTAAATTCCACTGATTTCTTTGCATACTTGAATGCAAAGAATAACAAATAATGAAGCTAGGTGCTTGGTTAGATTGAGGCAAGTTTTCAAATAGCTAGAACAAACTTTAACTCTTTTAAGTTGTTTAGTGTTTAACCATCATGACATCAATCTTAAAACACGTCCAGAAGTTGGATTTTGTGCCCTCTAGATTAATGATGTTAATTTTAGACTCTTTGTCAGTGTTAATCCTTGTAATTTATAGGATAATATAGAGTTTCTCAGTTTTATATAGTTTTTCAAATTTTACTTGATACTCTTCCAGTTCTAGATATGAGGCAAAATAAAGAACTTCATAGTTTTTTATATGAAAACTTTAAAGTTGCTAGATTAGAGAATATTCTAGAATATACTTAGATATTTAGGTATATTCTTTATACCTATAAAGCGAAATGTAAAGAAAATCCAAATTAAGAACACTAAAGTATTCACAAATGAAAATCACGATTTAAACATTGTACATTACAACCGTTTTGATCAGCTAAAAACTAATCGCTCAAGTGACCAGCTTAATTTCAATACCAGAATGTGGATATTCAGTACCGCGGTTCCTCTGCTGCAAACGAAAACACGTAAAAATACTTGTAGGGCAGGGACAATAACATCGTCCTATTCATCTTCATTGTTTTTGGTTTAGTGTTGACCACCAAACCTAAGTTGGATATAAACAGCTTTTTGCTTTTTCTTGGACTTTCCGAGAATGTGGATCACTATTGGATTTGTATGGCTGGATCGCATCCCAGTATGCAAATGATCTTGTGCGCCTCATGACACCCAATGCGTGATACACGACTGTCAAGGCGTTTGTGGAGAGTTACTTTGGCTACGACATGACATTTGGGTGTTGTTGCGGGTGTCTTGGTCGGCTTCCCGGTCTTCTTTGCCTTCATGTTTGCCTAATGTATCAAGTACCAGGAGGTAGCTCTTTTTTTCCAATCTCTTTCAGGCTCGGTCAAGAAAAAGTTGTGAGCTCATTACTAGGATGATACACTTTTGAAGCAGAAGAGCTTGAAAACTTGGTGTTCTTTTGGCTTGTTTTACCATTTTGTTTTACACAAGACATGCAGGAAATCCTCGAAAGTCACTTCCATAAACTATTGGGGGGCAAATTATACCATATATTACAAAATACAATAATCAGTTAAACACAACCCATTCATCATCGAATGGATCTGGGACGTACAATTTGCCTTGCTTCTCCACATTGTCCAATATTCCAGCGATGGGTAACTTCGGTAAAGTCCACACACTTTGGCAGGGCAAGAAGGAAAGGGGCTACATCTGCCAAGAAGTCCCGCTTGAAATCCCGAAACCCTACATGGTCAAGATTCTTGACTTTCATCCCGTCCTTTAGAACAACACAATTGCCACCATGTAGCCTCCTCTACACAAGCCTCCGAGTAGGATCCAGATGGTCAACCACAAGGTTGACATACTTCTCCTGGGCGGCACTAAACACCACGATATCGTACACATTTGAAACCTTCCCCAGAAATTCATCTACACCTAATCTCTTCATGATGTGGAGTGGTGCATCATCGTCAAATTCCATGCTGAAATCTACAGAAGAGATGAGATCCTTATGAGTGTATACCAGTGGATTGTCTAGATCGAGAATGAGTGTTTTCTTCATGATACCCTAAAAAATGACTCGGTATTCCGTGGAAATGTAGAAAAACTTATTCAAATTTTTGTAGAGAGAATATTCGCACCTTTGACCATTCACTCACCACAACAGAACTTGCAGGGGTGAGCTTTTAAGTGTTCTGAAGCTACTCTCTTGTTTTGACTTCCAGGTTCCGTGGATTCAATTCAGAAAGGCCTGTAGGAAAACGTTTTCCTATAAAAGATCAGCAGAGTTTCTTTTTGCCTATGGTGGAACCTCAATGCCAAGTACCTTTTTTTGAGGACTCTGCAAAATCATAGAAAGAAACAAACAAATGGAGAGAGAGAGAGAGAGAGAGAGAGAGAGGAATTGATCCATCAATTTTATCTGTCTAGGTTTCTAGTTTCTTCCATACCTCGAGGAACCAATCCTTAAATTCCATTGAGTACTACTCTTTTTAAATAATTTGTTGTACTATTTAAAATACACTACTCCTCTTTTAAATTATTTTTTGTGCTATCTAAAATATATCACAATGTATATTCTAATATATTTCTTAACATACTTGAATGCTAAACATAACAACTAATGAGGCTAGGCACTTGTTTAGATTGAGGCATTTGCATAATGTTAATTGCTAGCTATTGCACTTCAGGACAAATGGTGAGAAATGGTGTCCCCACTAGTCTTTAGTTTTTAAATAGCTAGAACAATGTTTAACTCTCTTAAGTTCTTTTGTGTTTAACCATCAGGCCATCAATCTTAGACGGCTGGATTTTGTGCCCTCTATATTACAGAATGAAACCATGAGTGTGGAGGGCTTAATGATGTTAATTTTAAATTTATTTTTAAGGTTTAAATTGGCATTCTGTTACATGTTAGTGTTAATAAGTGTTAATAGTTTTTCAATATAGATTATTTAGATTAGTGATAAGTTAGACAATTAACTTTAAACACTGATTACAAGTTAATTAGAGAAAGTTTAAGAGCCCCTAGATTAGAGAATATCCAAGAATATATTTAGATATCTAGGTATATGACTTTACTCTGTAAAGCAAAATAAAAAGAAAATCTGTAAGTGCATGAAATATGGACATAAAATATAAAAATATGCATATTCAATTAGTTAAATATTTATATTCAATTATTAGTGATCTAAATTGAAACCAATTCAATGGCTATCAAAATCCCATTACGGCAATAATATAAATGGCATTGTAACCATACACTTGAACCTTATATCATCCTCTCCTTTTGGAAGGAAGGAAAGTAATTATAATTGTTTGGTTGATAGGGATTTGGAGGAATATTAGGTGGAGGAACTAGTGGATCTATAGATGCTAGTTATTTATGATCCCTTTGTATGAAGTATTTTAGCTATTTTATATGCACAATTTTTAGAGGATTAACCTATTGAATGTTATGCCAAACTTCATATACTTGTGGTCCAATATAAAAAAGATGATTTGCGAGATAATCTATAAAGCTTCAAATATAGGAGGAAAGGGCCCATGAATAAAAGTGCACCCCCTTTTTTTAATTGATTAAGGGTCTTGAAATATTTTGAATAGTACTAAGTTAGGTGACTTCCCGAGAAGTATAAATTCAAGAGCTTACATCCAACTTACCACAACATTTAATACAGTCTCTTCCAATAAGTAAGGAGCTATTTAGACAAACTATACACTATAAGATTGGGAAGATTAATTAACATAAGGTCATCTGCTTTATACTCTATAGGTTAACAATGATGGGAGTTGTAACACCATTGTTATCCCATTTGTATGCAACTCAAGTGTTGGGAATATGATTGTAGGTATCGAAAATTACCTATGAATGAGTCATTTCAGATATTTTTTCTTTACTGCCACGACAACAAGAGGTTGGTATTGCTAGATTCTTTATCAATCTCCACCCAAGCTAATTGAGAAACTGGTCATCATGTATGTACTTATACTAGATAAACATAATATAGGAACTTTTATATGTTTCTTGCTGAGCATACTCGACTCTGTATGAGAAGCTCATATGTAACCCCCATTATATTGAGCTTGGTTCTTTAATATTCACTAAATAAATTTCAAATTTATTCCAAATACTAACTCTTGGTATTAAGGGTGATAACTTAAAGCATGTTTTCCGAGGTTCCAAATGTGTAGTAGGGATAGTGGGTATGTCAGGCATGGCCAATTAACCTAAGGCATACTCTAGCTCCTATTTGCATACCTATTTTTGTTTTGCATTCGGTTTAACCCAAGTTCTATACCATACTAGCTAGTGGAGTACCCATATCCTTGTGTTAAGCCACTGATATGCTAAAATAGCACTAAACTTTATTTGGCTCTGTTTAGCTCCATTTTGTGTGTTAATCTTGGCATTAGGATATTTGATGCTCTAGGACTATTCTTATGTCACTTCATGCTTCTATTCTTTTTCTTCTTGGGCTAAATGCTCAAGAGTCGCTCTATACTCTAGTTCCTTCGCTCCTTAGCTGCAAGCTTGGGAGTTTGATTCCATTCCTTTGTTTAATGGATTAAGGCCCTAAAACTCGGGTTCCACTCCGCTGTTTTTGGATATGTGGCATATAAAAAATTTAGGTTCTGCTTCATAGTTATCCTATAATAAATCACTATAGAATAAAGGGTGAAAACCATGTGTGCTATACTAAATGTTTAATAAATGCTACTTGAATAGTGGAAAAATGCTCGTCAAACACTAATCCTAAGACTTAGCATTGGTAGTTCATAGCAATTGTAAAGGTGAATTCAACTCCATTGATA